GAGAGTACAGGGTCCGGGGCCCTTTGCTAAGGGCTGTCCGGTCCCTGTACAACCGGAGCAGGAGCTTAGTTCACATTGCCGACAGTAAATCAGACTTGTTTCCAGTGCATGTTGGACTCTGGCAGGGCTGCCCTTTGTCACTGGTTCTGTGGAGGAACCAGTTTGGGGACCACAGGATCTCATCTCTGCTTTTCGTAGATGACATTCTCCTGTTGGCTCCATCAAACTAGAGTTGTTTTTGGCGGCCTGTTTTAACTTTAGTTTTAGTCTAGTCTTTGTGTGAAGCTGTCATTTTAGTTTTTATTAGTTTTAGTCACGTTCATACTCTTTTTAGTCTAGTCTAGTTTTAGTCGACAAAAACTGATGACATTTTAGTCTCATTTTAGTCAGAATTATCCATTACTATTTTCATCTAGTTTTAGTCTATGAAAACTGATGACATTCTAGTCTAGTTTTAGTCAATGAAAATTGTATTTTAGTCTCTTTTTAGTAATGCAATTCTATTTAACCCAGTCAATATAGTATAAGTACCTAGTAGTACAGGACACAGGAAACAGAAATACTGCAAAATAATAATAATAACGCGACTAAACGTGACGAAATAACGTTATAACATTTCGTTTCGTCTCGTTTTGGTCAACGAAAATGAAGAGACATTTTGGCATAGTCTTTATTTTGTGAACCACATTTAGTCTCCTTTTTAGTTATAGTCATCGTCACACGACCAGCATTTTTGTTGCGTCTCGTCTCGTTTTCGTCACGCGATAAAGGTTCATTGACGATGATATTTAGTCATAATTTTCATTGATGAAAGCAACACTACATCAAACCAAGACCTTCAGCGTGTATTGGGGCGGTTTGCAGCCTAGTGTGAAGCAGCTGAGATGAGAATCAGCACCTCCATGTCTGAGGCCATGGTTCTCAGTCGGAAAAGGGTGGCTTGTTCCCTTCAGGTTGGTGGACAGCTCCTGCCTCAAGTGGAGGTGTTCAAGTATCTTGGTGTCTTGCTCACGAGTGAGGGAAGGATGGAACGGGAGACTGACAGGTGGATCGGTGCAGCTTCTGCAGTATTGCAGTTGATGTATTGGTCCGTCATGGTGAAGAAGGAGCTGAGCTGTAAGGTGAAGCTCTTGATTTACTGGTAGTTCCGACTCTCACCTGTGGTCATAAGCTTTGGATCATGACCAAAAGGGTAAGATCCCGGATACAGGTGGTCAAAATGAGCTTTCTCCGCAGGGTGGCTGGGCACACCGTTAGAGATAGGGTGAGGAGCTCAGTCACTCAGGAGCTCAGAGTAGAATCACTGCTCCTCCACATTGAGAGGAGCCAGGTGAGGTGGCTTGGGCATCTGTTTTGGATGCCTCCTGGGCTCCTTCCTAGGGAGGCATGTCCCAGGCATGTCCCACCGGGAGGAGACCCCGGGGAAGACCTAGGACACGCTGGAGGGTCTATGTCTCTCGGCTGGCCTGGGAACACCTTAGCATTCCCCCAGAGGAGCTGGAGGAAGTGTCTGGAGAGAGGGAAGTCTGGGCATCTCTGCTTAGAGTGCTACTGTATATCAGATATCTTCTAGCACTGCTTCGGACACATCACTTCTCACATACAATAATCCCAATCAGCTTCCTTCTCATTTGATTTTGTTTGCATATTCACTACTTACGTTTCACCTCTCCATTTCAGTTGACTAAATCAGGAAAAACATTTTTTATTTTAGGCATAAATCTCCTAGATCCTCATATCAAACTTTCTTCTTCTGTTTTCCTCTCTTTATTCTTGCTGTCCACTCCTGCATCTCGTATGTTTTTCATCACACATTGAGCCACCAAGGATCATCTGATCATATAATTTTATGTGTGCCATGCAGAAATACTGTAGTGTTCATCTTGAGCTATTTGCTAAATTATTATTTTATCCCCACCTTTTTCAGCTTCTCCTTTTCCTCATCTCCTTCAGTCACTTCTGTTGTGTGTAGCAGTCTTTGCAACTGCCTTGAATTCAAAGAATGGCCTTTATATAGTCTGCACTTTTAATCACTGATGTTCTTAAAAGTATTTTAGGCAAAAAATAAAAACTGCATTGTTATGTATAACAAGTAAAATTTTCCTTTCATCCCTCTGCTTTAGGTTTCCTCTTCTTATTGCTTTGACAAAGTTGACTTAGGAGATATACAGTAAATGATGGCTTGAATTCATTGCTTGTAAAGTAAAAGAAACTATAACAGACTTGTATTCACATGCAACAAAAAACAGACATAGGGCTCTATTTTCTTGCCAGCACAAAGCCAGCATAGCTTCAATCATAGTCTTTATGTAGTTTCCTTGAGTGCAAGTCTTTTTTGTTTTAGCATTAGTGTGTTTGGCATTTTCCTGTCATGAATGAATATGTTTACACTGAGGTGGGAGGCAAGATGGTGCTTAAGCCACGTTTATGCTGATTAGGCAGCACAGTGCATTTTCTGTGCCAAAATTACATTAGCATTAAGACCTGTTCAGACTACGTTTATCACAAATTCAGGTGCACTGCAATTTGCCTTACACCATTTAGGTTTGGAAGCGTGAGAACAGGTACCCACGTGTTTTAACAGCTACACCAACTTAAAATAAACCCTCAATTCCACAGGTGATCTGCCAGAATTTACTGTGAATAATTTATGTGTAAGAAATTAGAAAGGCTATTTTCAAATAACATAAGTAAACTAGTTCTCATTTTGTGGCTATAGATATGAATATAGTCAAACAAAGCTGGCCCGTGTCATGACACACCATCTGTCCTTATAGAAAACCGATCTCTCACCAAATTCAGGTGCTATAAATACACATAGGCATACAATACATGAAAGCAGCCATGATAAATAATAAAATAACTGAACAGACTGAAAAGTTGATGTGTTAATTTTAGAGAATACATTACACATTTAAAGAAAAACAAAGCAACTTGACCAGACATGGATGGAAGTTTAGGGAATCTGTGCTGAGACACACAGAGAAATGCTCTGGGGGAGTCCTGGCAAATATAAGGATCCACTGTTAGTCTCTATGTGTCAGTGTGTGTGTGTGTGTGTGCTGAGTGCTGAAGAACCTGGAGGTCTTGACAGACGGTTAACATCCACAGCAGAGTGAACTACCATCAGGAATGGTGCAGTACAACACACCTGAGGGTACCACAGGTCACCTGGTTACTGCTCATGTGTTCTTGAAAACGCCAAAACATTTTTTATAATTTATAATTTCAAGGCTAACATGAGGCTGAAGATTAGGGGAGTGGCTTTTCGCTTGAGGTTTCTGGACCAATAACTACCAGATCAATGCACCTACAGTAATGCCAAATTTCAGTAAAATAACATGTACCATATAGAAACCCAGGACAAAATCTGTCACAGCCTTGGGTGGAAGAAGGTGGCTTTTATTTTAATGGCCACTACAAATAACACATCTTTGGCATCAAATAAAGTGAGAGGGTAAAAAGTAAGACAGTCTCCCACAGACAGCCAGAGGAATGGTTCAATAAAGGTGCTAGGCACTTTACACCTAGCAGTTGTCAGTCTTATTAATATAAATACTCACAAGTAATCTGAACAAAAACTTATTCTGAAGACAAAAATGCCTTCAGGCTTATCAACCCTGCTCTGTAACATAGTAAATTCAGCTCCTTGTCATTCTTCTTCCCTTCTCCTGCTCCCCTTAGGTAATGTCTTCCACACCACAGTGCCAGAGAAGCTGAGTTTGGCCACAGCCTCAACCCACTGCCACTCACTGGGAGCTCAGCTGGCTACTGTCGGGCAGCTATACCTTGCCTGGCAAATTGGCCTGGACCAGTGTGACCCCGGCTGGCTGGCCGATGGCAGTGTACGCTACCCCATCAATGTCCCACGGAAGAACTGCGGCGGCGATGATCCTGGAGTGCGAACCGTCTATAGCAACCCCAACCGCACTGGCTTCCCGGACACCACAGCCCTGTTTGATGCCTACTGCTACAGAGGTACTGCAAACTCCATGGCGACAAACTTAATGTATCATTATTGTGGTAATTGCCATGGCAACAACAGTGTGGTCTGGCCTCACTTTCCATTCTTGTTTTTTTATTAGCATGAGATGTTTATGTCACACATAAAATAGGTGCGAAGAGACTGTGTGACATTTGTATCCCCTCTGGTAGATGTGAGGGCTTATATGTTGTGTGTAGTGAAGTCTACATGACAGAGAGAGAGAGAAAGAGGGAAGGGGGAAAGTGAAGTTGAAAGGGAGAGAGTAGGACATAAATAAGCCCAACTGGAGTTTGCAGTGCTTTTGTGTCTGACCTTGCTCTTTTATAATGCACCAAATGAGACAGGAATAAGATAGTTTCATCTTCACATTGGGCTGACTTTATACCACATTAGTCTGTTCACTGATTGCACGTTTCATAATACAGCAAACCTATGATTTTGCATCTAGAGGATATTTTTGTCTAGTGAGCTTGCATTGATTCTATTAGACTAGAGTGATGTGTGAACATTGTATTCCCACACAGAAAAAAAGGAAAGGACATTTTCATCTTTCACTATGTCAGCTTTTGAAATTTTCATTGAAGCAAAACATCTGCATAACCCAATCATTTTAAGTAAACAAAAACAGCATGGGAGCAGAGCAGCAGTGTATCTGTCAAAACAAATAGCTGATAGATGAATCGCTGTGCACCAGCAGTGTTGTGTGCATATTTGCATTAATATTTCAAACAAATGACTTTCTGATAGTTAAAAGTAGATAAAGATAATGTGTTTTGTTTATCAACATACAGCTGGTTCATGTAAATAATACTGTCAGTGCAGTCATAATAATAAAGCATGAATGCAATATATGTTTGGTTGTTCATTTAAAAATTATTAGATTTTTGTAACAAAAAAATCAGAGACATGTTATAAAACTTTGTCAGTCCAGCAGAGTGCAGCCTGCTCCTTATCTTGTTTTGGCAGAAATATTTGGTTTACTGCTGTTATGCAAGAGAAAAACCATATACTTGCTCTTTTGTGAAATGTGGTTTTTGTGTGTTGCAGCCCATCAACCAGCAGGGGTCCAGGCTGCACAGGCTTTGTACCAGACCATCAGACCAGCAGCAGAGGCTGTCTCCTCATTCACTGAAGCCCAGCGTAGCACCCCTTTTTTCAAGACCTCCACCTGGACTGGCCTGGTCAACTTGGACTACACAGGAGAGCACCCCTTTGCTGGAATCAGCAACTCCTCTGAGATCTCTGAAGAGTATGTAGTCATCCACTTGATGCCTGATATGGACTGGAATGAAAAGCAGGGTGGACCTAGAAGTGGCAGTCAGCAGGCCACTGATGACCCAAAAAGTAGCATCACCTTAGGCCTTTCTAACCTCGAAAGCCAGGAGGGCCAAGGAGGTTCAGCACATGAGGAAGAAGATGGCAGTTACTTTGGATCTGACACCCCAACATTATCTTCAATAGCTTCTTCCACTCCCCAGTCTCAGACCAGTAACAGTGTGCTGGCTCAGTTTGTCAAGACTCTGATGAGGCCTTTTAAGTACTGGACTAAAGGTGAGGAGGAAGAAGAGACAGAGGGACTTGTAGTGCCTGAGAGAAAAGCAGGAGAGAACCAGACACAGGGAGAAGCATCCAGCAGAAATCTGAGTGTACTCAAATTCAGTGAAAACAAGGGCAGCAGGGACAATGCTATCATGGACCACAGGAATGGTCATTTTTCCTTCAGGGCTCCTACCAGTGGACTACAGAGTCCAGAGGAAGGTCTGTCTGAGCAAGAGAAAGAGGTCATGCCACTGATTCAATTAGTGCCTGCAGTCCAAAACACAGAGCAAAGTGACACCAGCACCGAGCCAGGAGACCAAGCTGCCAGCACAGCTGTTTACAACTCTCCATCCACTGTTAACAGTAAGAGTCCAACAATCTTAGTTGACTTGTATTAGTTTTAAAGAACACATTAAATGGTTGAAGGATAAGGATAATCACCTTTATTTGGCCAAGTATGTTACACACAAGGAATTTGTTTCCAGTAAGGAACCGAACCGAGGCAGCCATCTGCAGCATCAACTCAATCAATGGCATTAACCATCAGGGGCAACTTGGGGGTTCAGTGTCTTGCCCAAGGACACTTTGACATGTGGAATGCAGACACCGAGATTCAAACCTTCAACCGTCCGATTGGGAGACAAATGCTCTACCCACTGAAAAGAAAAACAAGAAAAACAAAGCAACTTGATCATTAGCGGTTTGATTCCCGGTTTATCCAGTCAACATGCCCAGTTGCTCCCGGTGACAACACCGGTGTGTGAATGTGTGAGCGTTTGAGAGTGCGAATGGGTGAATGGCCAAAGTAGTGTGAAAGTGCTTTGAGTGTGCTGTAAAGCATAGAAAAGTGCTATACAAGTATAAGACCATTTACTGTTAGTCTCTGAGTGTGTGTGTGCTGAGTGCTGAAGAACCTGGAGGCCCTGTCAGATGGTTAACATCCACACCAGAGTGAACTAGCCTCAGGAATGATGCGATACAACACACCTGAGGGTACAAAAAGTCACCTGGTTACTGTTGTCAACTCATGTGTTCTTGAAAACCCCACATTGCTTTTTCTGGTTTATAATTTCAAGGCTAAGATTAGACTGAAGATTAGAGAAGTGGCTTTTCTGGACCAGTAACTACCGGAGCAGGGCACCTACAGTAATGCCAAATTACAGCTCAGTAAAAAACATGTACCATATAGAAACCAAAGACAATGCCTGTCATGGCCAGAGTGGAAGAAGGCAGCATTTATTTTAATGGCCACTACAAATAATGCTTCCTTGGCATCAAATAAAGGGAGAGGGTAAAAAGTAAGAGTAACAGTCTCCCACAGACAGCCAGAGGAATGGTTCAATAAAGGTGCTAGGCTCTTTTCACCTAGCAATTGTCAGGTTTATTAATATAAATACTCACTGCTGTGCTACGTGAAATCCGATGCCCCCCCACCCCTCGAGATATCAATGAAAATCAAAGCTTTATTCCACATGCATTATTCACAGCCCTATCCAATTAAGGCTGAGGCTGCGCTGTGCTGTTTTTCACTCCCCCCTCTGTCTACAGCATGTCTCTAACAGCCAGGCCTCGGCTCTCTCAAGGTAGCAAGGTAGGCGGTAATGATCACTAACAGCAAAGAGCAAGAGGGGGATGCATAGACAAAGGAAAGGAAAGATGGAGGCAGGGTCATTTTCTTTAATGTTGCCATGATAGAAAAATGCCCAACTGATATCTCTTCTTAAACTAGCATCAGTGAGATGAATTAACACCGCAGGCAATCTCTTTGATCTCCTTAGTAATCAATGGTGTCATGCTGCCTCTATGATTGAGAGGAATGCAAAGCTTTGCAGTGCAACAGTACATCTAACATAGAATTTAAATCTGAATCAGTAATGAATCTATTTTTGAAATTTGAAGATCTCTGAATATAAAGCAATAGCTTCTGTTACTCTCCCTACAAATCAACATTTTATTGAATGAAGTGTTATTTTCTTAAGCTCCTATAGTGTAGTCAGCTCCCTCCAGTTAAAGTACATTTTAATAAGCTCCATATGTTAGCCTGGTTCCTCAACCCCAGAGACCAAATTTATGTGAGAGAAGACAGTGGGGTCTTTATGTTGACACTCAGTGTAGGTATATGCTCCTTATATGAGTCACACGGCTTTGCACTAACTCCTCAATCATTTTTATTAGACACCATTATTGCAGATGGGCTGAGGGGCATTGGTGCCACTTTCATCTCTCTCTTTCTCTGTCTGTCTCATTGTCAGTCTCCATTTTATTGTAATATCATGTCTGCCTAAGAGATTCTCTTAACCTGTTTACTCCATTGAAGGGGAGTCAACATGTCAGAAGCACTGACACTGGAAGCACATAATTACTGTCTCAATAGGGTTAATCATAAGGATGTTCTGCAGTTTTTTGGTGTTGAGTTTTGGTTTTTCCACCAAGCCTTGCACCAAACAGATTCACGGGGGCAGAGCTGAACTCTAGCCATGCTCTAAATAACCCCATGAAATCAGCCAAACCTTTGTCTAATTTTCTCATTTTATTTATTACATAGGTCATTGCATAGATGATCACACTAGATTAATCTGTTTAGTTATGTAAATTAGCTACTTGGATTAGTAATAGGTTAATTACGCTGGTCTACATGGCTGTAATGGAAAGCCTCACCTAGGCATAAAGCAATATCTGACCTTCTGGATAATTTACATATATTTTAATATTTTATTCATGGACATATTTGTGTATGTTCTCCCTCTCATGGTAATTTGTTGTGCTGGATTGTGTTTCACAGCACTGCTGTATTGCTGTACTTGTCAGACATGTTAACTGAGCTGAGGACAGCCAAACCAAGCTGAGCGATGATGACGTTAGCGACACTAGACAGGCCTCTTGTAGCACGACTGTACTGCTGCCCTCAAAAAAACACACACCAGCAGCGACTCACACATGCAGACAGGATAAATTATTGATGGTGTAGAGAGTGTGGTTTAAAGCCATAAGCTGATAAGGTACAGTGGACCACATCATCTAAATAAACAGGAGCTTGTTGTGAAGCAATTCATTTGCTTATATTGTAGTGCTGAAAGTGCTCCTGTGTTTTTCTACATGGCTTCTTTCACCACAGGCAAGTGCACTCCAGCAGGAGGTTGTTTTGGGTAAAATAATCCTCAGGAAAAAGAAAATGGGGTCAGAGAAGAGAAGTGTGAAATTACTGTGTATACATCCCTCCATCCTTTTTGGTGTGTGTGTTTGTGTGTGTTTATGGGCTTTCACAAGGAATGGTCTCCATCTTTGTCCTTAAACTCCAGCAACTATAGTAGCTACACTGATCAGCTCCAGTGGTGAAGGAAGAAGCCCACAATATCCAGTTTACAGTTAATTACAGTAAAGTGCTGCTTTCCCTTTACTTCAAAAAACATCCAAGAAAGTTGAGTTTACTGTAGCTCCCAGTTCCATTTTAATGTTTTACCCCCTATTGAATCAGCTCCATAACCATCTGAGAAACAATCACAAAAGATGCTTTCTTGTTTTTTTGTGAAGTTTCGGCACACTTTCTACATGAGTTGGTTAACTTATCACTGTTTTCAGTGTAGGCACAGAAAAAAAGCATATGCAATAAAAACAAATGACACAGTCCACAACTGACTGAAACTAAAAGCAGTCAATACCCATGGAAACAAGGCTTAAGTTTTAATTGCTAATTCTACATCTATAAAATTAAACCCACGCCCTCCCCTTATAATGGAATTATATTAATCAGTCTCTTCTGTCTCTTTGTTCCCTGTAGAAATCAGTGCATCAAGATCACCACCTGGTGAACCTGTCAACATTTCCAGTCCTCTGGGTTCCAGAGAAGGCATTTCCTTTGATCCTGCCCCAGTCAGTCCCTTTCCATGGGCCATCAAGTCCTGGCAAGGCTCCAAACTAGGCCCCACTGGAAATGTGGCTAATATGGCTAAACATCCCACCTGGGAATCTATGGAAGCCAAAGCAGGGCCCCTCATGGTGATGACCTTGCCCACCTTCCTGCAACAGGGAAACCCAGAAAACTATTCAGGTGAGGGGAAGGACCATGATGGAGAAGATGATATTACTCCATTAGCTACTAGAGCTGATTCAGGGAAGGAGAGTGAGATTGATGGGAGCGGCACAGGGAATAGCTTTCCTGGTGTGTTTGGGTTCAAAGTCAATAACTTGGGCAGCAGCAGTGTCAAACCAAATCCAGAAACAAAGTCTTCACTCAGCCAGAGTGATCTTATGACTGCGGCCAAGCACACCATTCTGTCCCAGTGGCAGCACGTGGAGCAGCCTCCCCCCCCACCTCAGGGCTCCCAGAAGTCAGACACAGCAGAGGAGGCCAGGGAAGAGATCCTCTACACCCACCAGCCTACTGACAGCTTCTCCTCATCTTCCTCAACCAGAGGAGAAAGTAGTTCAAATTCAGGTTTCACTCCTGTTTTTATGAAGCACAATAAAGGCATGAGCAGAAAGGAGGTGGTGACCCCCACACCTGAAGCATCAATGGAGGTGCTGGCAACGGCTGAGGTGAACACAGAACTTCTGACGAACAGAGACACACAAAGTGCATTTCCAGTCAACACAGTGGCCACCACACAGAATTCGTCAGGCAGCTTCTCCACATCTGTTCCCATTTCATGGGTTCAGGAAGAGCAGGGGAAAACAACAAGCACACCAACCCTGCAGGAGGACGGAGCCACTCCAGCACCAGGTGAGGGACCTCAAATGACTACAGGTGTCATTCAGTTGACCACCCTTGTGTCAGGCTCCAAAGTCGACACCACAGAAATGGAATCCAAATCTGCAGTGCCTGAGTCCTTCATGGTAGGAAGTCGTTGGACACCTTTTGAAGCCATAAGCTCAAAACCAGAGGAACACAAAACTCGGATGACAACAGACAACAACGACACAGACAACCCTTTTGACATCCTTGTTCCCAGCTGGGCCTTCGGGCTCATCTCATCAGGTACGTAAGTCCCTCTGTGTTCCCAGTGAATGAACTGCACTGTTATTATCTGCATGATTATGAGTGATTATCTCATCAGTAGTGATTTATTCCATTATCTGTCAGAGCCAGAGACATCAATCATGTCATCGCCATCGCTGAGGTGATGGATATTACACTGTTAAATTTGACACCTGATTTTGATTTAGCTTTAGTGATGAAAATGTATATTAGTTTTTTACTTTAATCTTTTTTTTTCTATTATTTTATACATTATTTTTAAATATTTTGTTTTATTATAGACATAAAGACCAAAGACATTTTATGTCTACTTCATTTCTTGCATTTTTAATATTTATACAATGTACAATTGCCATGACTACAAGTGTTGTACTCATCTGTCATGATAGCTGAGAAGGCTGTTTATTTGTTCACACACACACTGTCCATGCAACTGAGCTCTGCAGAGCAGTGAGTGATTCTGAAGTTGTCCCCTCACATTTTGACTAAAATCCTGTTCACTGAGTTCAGCTAGAGAGGAGAAGCTAAATTGTAAGATAACACTACATAATATTTCTATAATGAACATCTAGAGGAAGATTTAGCTGGCTGACTGTCATGCTTATTCATTTTTACAGCTACACATGTCCAACTGAAAGTAATGTTAACATTACATTAACAGCAATTAATGTCACAAATGATTTTAACTTTTGATTAATGTCAGTGTGCTGTCAGTATTTTCATAGTTTGTCTCAGCAGCTTTGTATCTTCTTCTGGGAACCAGTAATCAGAAGACAGGCAAAGCATTACTGAATGTAAGACACTTCTTATTAACAACAGTGCAGCAGGTCAAATAGCCAGTTCAAGTCTACATCTTCCCTCTCACTGCTGCTCTGGCTTACATCATGCATTCTTAATTTAGCCGTGTTCTTTATTTTTCTCCTCACATCTTCTTTCTTTTCTTCTCCCTCTCCCCCAATTTGGTACAACAAGTACTCCACATGGCGAGGCGGTCCACTGAGGTGAGACCAACTAGGTCTTAGTGAAGTAATTAGCAGGTCAGAGTGAGTGCTATTAGGTGAACTTAGAAGAGAGCAGAGATCCTTGTCCCAAACAAATCAATGTCTACACAAACTACAAGATGAGACTCATAATTGACTGTGATCTAGACTCCTTTCTCATTTTCTAGTTTGTTCATGTTCATTCGCTCTCTCTGTCATGTTTGGCTCAACCTTCTTCTCTGACACTCTGTCCCTGACGTTGTTGTTCGCAATAATTGTCTTTATGCTGTTTGTCTCAGCTCACTCACATTGATTTCTTTTCATAGTTAATGGACCTGCTACCGTGGCAAAAAACCACATAGTAACTTACACACTCTGTATTCTTGAGGCTACTTGTTCCTTCCTTGTCTAAATTTGCCAAACAAAATGTTTTTGCTTAATGTTTAATATGTGTCTCTGGGGGATTACTATTGATTGATTACTATTACTATTATTATAAGTATTTATTGTGTGCTTCTGCTCACCTAATGCCACTGATTCATCCTTTGAAAATGATGATATGGTTCATTAGTGATCCTGCTCATTGTGCTCAGTGCATTTTAAAAACCTTTATGTACTCACATGGAGGGGTCAGAGCTGTTAGGAATTTGGTATTGTAGCTGCATTTACATGCAACCTTTTATAGCCTATTTGAAATACATTTTCCCCCATTCAGACTGCCATTTTATCCTGTCAAAGGAAATGGTTTTATAATGCATTTCACAGAGTAATATTTGTCATGGAAAGCACAGTGGTGCACTGGTTAGTACAGTTGCCTCACAGCAAGAATGGCCTTGGTTCGAACCTGCCAACCAACTTGGGCCTTTCTGTGTGGAGAGGGTTTCCTCCAGGTGCTCCACCTTCTTCCTTCAGTTCAAAGATAAGCAGGTTAGGGTTAATTAGAGACAGTAAAACTGTCCATAAGTGTGACTGTGCATGGATGTTGGTCTCTGTGGCTACACTGAAATTACAGGCCTTAAGGTTTAATTCCAATTTTTTTGTCAGATCAGACCTTTTTACATTACACAAAAAGGTCCCACCTCACCTCATAGCCTTTGTCAGCCTTATAATTGACTGGTGATCTGTCCTGGGTGTACCCCCCTTGTCTCACCCAGTGTCAGCTGGACTCAGCTCCAACCCCACTGCAGCTCTTTACAAGACAAGTGGTTTATAATTTAAAACTGCTTCTAATTACTGTATGTTTTGGAATAGTTATACTCGTTCTTTACCTGCTTGCTCACTGGACTTGTGTGATGATCTTTTCTAGTGTATGATGTAAAGCAAAATCAACACAAATTTGCTTTATGTGGTGTATCCATTATTTTTCACATTTCTATTTGACCATCATCCTGCCATGTAGTCAGTGTCGGAATACTTCTGTGGTCGTTGAGGTCTGATGTGCACTAAATTACTTCAGGCAAATTATCCCAATGTTTATTTATTATTGCAATAATTCTAAGCAGTTCAATAATTTGCAAGGCAATTCAACAGTCTGAAAGATAGGGAACAGAATCACTACCCCTGCAGAGAAATAAATAAAAGTATTAGATAAGAGAATTGTCAAAGAGTCAGTCAGTCATTTTTGGTCATACAGTACAGTCAGTCAGAGTCCAGAGTCAGGTCGGTTCCTCTCCCAGCTGGGTTCTTGCTTTTCGTCTTTCTTCCCGAACGCACACACTACACTACTGCCGCATCATTCTCCTGTCCATTCTACCTCTCTTTATTCACAGCTCCTTTCGGGTCTTATGTCAATTCCCGAACTTAGCTTCCTGTCTTCACTTTTAAGAGGAAACACCCTGAGATGTACAGGAAAAAGGAAACAGATGGGTCACCTCCATAAAATTCTCATTTCTACACACAGACAATTCTCTGGCCTCTTTAAAACACAAAAGATCAGAAAGGCACCAGGCCCAGATGGTGTGACCCCCTCCTGCTTGAAAGTGTGCGCTGATCAGCTGGCCCCCATCTTCACACTTATCTTCAACAAGTCACTGGAGCTGTGTCCCTTCAAACATTCCACCATCATTCCAGTCCCCAAGAAAACCTCCATCATTGGACTGAACAACTACAGACCTGTTGCCCTGACATCTGTAGTTATGAAGTCCTTTGAAAGATTGGTGTTGGCCCACCTGAAGGACACCGTAGACCCCCTGCTAGACCCTCTGCAGTTCGCCTACCAGGCAAACAGGTCAATGGACGATGCAGTGAACACGGCACTGCATTAAATCCTGTAACACCTTGACTCCCCAGGTATCACATCTAGCACCCGGACAATAAGCACAGGTGTCCCCTAAGGATGTGTGCTCTCCCCTCTGCTGTTTTCACTCTACACCAATGACTGCATCTCGAAGGACCCCTCTGTCAAGCTCCTAAAGTTTGCAGGTGACACAACGGTCATTGGTCTCATCCGAGACAATGACAAGTCAGCCTGGAGCTGAACACGCTCAAAACAGTGGAGATGACAGTGGACTTCAGGAAGAGCCCTCCCACCTTACCCCCACTTACCATACTTGGCAACACTGTATCAGCAGTAAAGTCCTTCAAGTACCTGGGCTCCACTATCTCCCAGGACATGAAATGGGTGTCCAACATCAGGACCATCACCAAGAAGGCACGGCAGAGGATGCACTTCCTGTGCCAGCTCAGGAAGCTCGACCTGCCCCAGGAGCTGCTGATACAGTTCTACAGCGGGATCATCCCCCCGTCGCCCCTGATGGTTGGAGCCATTGGTTGAGTTGGCCCCGCAGATGGCTGCCATTGGTTCTGTACCAGAAATATATACCTTGTGTGTACCATACTTGGCCAATAAAGGTGATTATCCTTAAGTTCCTGGGCTCCACTATCTCCCAGGACCTGAAGTGGGCATCCAACATCAGGACCATCATCAAGAAGGCACAGCAGAGGATGTACTTCCTGCCCCAGGAGCTGCTGATACAGTTCTACAGAGGAATCATCAAGTCCTTTCTCTGCACCTCCATCACTGTCTGGTTTGGCTCAGCAACCAAACAGGACAAGTACAGACTTCAACAGACAGTCAGGACTGCCGAAAAGGTCATTGGTGTGAGCCTGCCCTCCATGGAGGACCTGTACATCTCATGGGTCAAAAGGAGGGTGGAGAGGATCACTGCAGACCCCTCACACCCTGGACATAATCTGTTTGAACTCCTCCCCACTGGACAGCGTTACAGGTCGCTGTGCACCAAGACAACCAGGCACAGGGACAGTTTCTTCCCCCAGGCCATCACTCTTAACACTTAACCAATGACAGTATGACTGGACAATAACCCTAAGTGCAATACCTGTAAATATACATTGTACAAATTATACAGACTCTAGTTTTAAGTACTCTATCCCTTATTCCTATTTATCTCATTTCAACGAACATTCCTTTGTTGTCTGCATTGTTTACTGTCTGTTTATACTGCTTATTCTGCATTGTTTGCACTGTTTGTTGCTGTTAATACTGCTTATTTTGTTATATTATACAGCCTTATGCTGGTTTACTGTTTGCACATTGAGAGCTGATGTACCAGAGTCAAATTTCTCGTGTGTCCGTCACACCTGGCCAATAAAGCTGATTCTGATTCTGAATAAAAGGTCAAAGCCTGCCGAATTATATAAGCATTGTCCAGCCCACCCCAAGCCCTGTACTCTCTGGCATATTACATTTTAACTTGTATCCTGTTTGTTTTTAACAAATTGATTACATTTAAGAAGACATTTCTTATTTAATAGTGGCTTAAGGACACTTCCTTTCTTCATACTGAATGGTAGTCTGCATACTGACAGTATCATCCTACTGTTCAGTACATACCAAGAAAACAGTCATGATAAGAGTGATTGTTTGTCTTTCTTAGTATTTCTGATCTGGTAACATTTGAATGGATTGAGTGGCCCTGGTCTAGCTGAGTGATTAAAAACATGAGGTTCGCTCTGTGTGGCCTTTAGTAGTTGTCAGTTATAGTACAGAGAAAATTACAG